TTTACCGGTGGTAGAGAAAAATAACAGCCACCGGTTGAACAGTGGTAGAAAAAATGACTCAATGCCCAGCCATCGGTTGAACCGTGGGTGAACACTTGTAACTATTTTTATATCTACCGTGAAACATTACATACCAATTATTTGCGAATTTTGACTCAGGATCTCAGGCAGAAGAGTTACAGGAACGCAGATTTTAAAGGGTTAAGGCCAGGTAAAGTTTTTAGATTGGAAGAATTTTGGGGAGATAATAATGATTTTGCTGATACATGTCCGACTAATTACCTATGAGAATCTCACCATTGTGAGTCAGGTTGGTCTCGTAGACCATCACAAGTGAAAACTTATGCGGACCACAAACACCCTTTTTACAGGTTTTCCCGAGTTAAATCTGAAGTACAAAATAAACGACTTAGCGTCGGATAGGAGAGATAATGAACTAATTCCAAACGCAGTTTCTTACCATTCAACCTTAGTTCTTATTAGATTTCCTCTTTGGTACTTCGACTTTACAAAGTTAAGCGAAGTGCTAGATTGGCAGTTAGGTCTCGCCATTTTACAGCTGAAATTGCTAGTTGTAAGTTCTATGCTAACAGTTTCTTCTCTCGCGGTTTTCCTTTGTGGAACTCTCTTTCGGCTTTTTGCTTTCTAAACAACTTTGATCGTCAAACATTTAAATACAGTGTCAACTGTTATATTCAGTCTTTTTAATTTCTGTTACAAGATAAGAGGTTTATTCCTTGCTTCCTGTTTAGAACTGGTTTTCTGGTTCTTCCTAAAATCTACTTCAACTCTATACTTGTAACATTTCCGCCTAAAACTCTGAAACTTTATTTACTATTTATTTTCCCCAAATAGGAGTCGATATATATTCGCCTATTGTCCGGTTCACACTCCTCTCTTTTCTCTTGAACAGAAGTTTCCTGTTTAAGATTGGGTCTCTGCTTCGTTCTAAAGTATTTTCCTTCTCTTTCAATTCTGGTGATCCCTTGAATCTTGGGGACATTATCGCTTTGGTTGGGACGGTGTCTCTTACTCTATAACAATCTACCTCGAGTGGCTCTTGGGTCTTGTACAGGATAAAAATTACTGTAAAAGAAAAGAATTCTGTTCTCTTTAATGTTTTTTTTTATTTTTCTCATCTCATATTCTTTCATACGCAGTGTTGTAATAAACTAAGTACATCCCATCTCCCTTCTCACTTGTAACTATCCATGACAATAAAATAAACTCTTTTCAGCACTAAAGCTGAATGAGTTAAATAAAGCTCCATTCAAGCCGCGGGGTGGGGAGGTCCTTCCCCAGCCTCTCCCTCTCCTTCAGGAGGGGGTTGGGTTTATTGCCCGGTGCCTGAGGTGTCCCTAAAAGGGAAGTGCCGAGGTGTCTTGGGCATTTTTTTCCACGGTAAAACACAATTTAAAATGACCTTATGTCACATTGGGTAGCGATGGAGTGCGTACTGAAAAACATCCAAATAAACTTCTACTTGTTAATATATTACAGTAGTAAGTATGTTAGGGACTTTTTTCTCTTGCTTGGGGTGAAATGATAAAAAAATAAAACTTTGACAGTTAACTCAGAATTCATGGCGTTGAAATACATCATTACTTTCCGAAAAACTTAATTTTTATGTCTGTCAAATGTTGTTTGACAAATTCCGTATTAAACAGTTTTGAAAAATCCAAATTTTAACGATATCAGAGTAATAATGGCAGACATCATGTTATTACTCAAAGACTTTTTGATCGTTGTGGAACTAAAGTTAGATGCTCGCTAAGGATATGTGTATCGACAGGACATCAAGAGTCTGCGTTGCGTGTGTTTTTATGATATTCTTATAGTTTCTTACCCATCATTGACTCCCCGGCATGCCCGAATAGCGACGCCGTTTCCCTTGGGGCAATTACCATCCTCCACAACGTCCTCGCCCAGCTCATTAAGCGGCAGTAACAGCTTTCTTTTTTTTTCTTGGAAAAATACTTACCGAAAAATCTTGATACCCAAATTTCGTTGAAGCATGACCAGTCCCGTTATTAATATTCTATTTTTAAGTTTCTTCGTGTTTATTTTTTCAAACTTTTTCCTTCCTTTTATTTTTGATTTTTTTTTATTCTTCAACTTGTACTGTATACTTTCTTTCTTTCTTTCTTCTTCTTTTTCTTCAACGCTTCTTTCTTATCATTCTTTTTTTTTTCTTTCTTCTAATTTCTCCCATTTACTTTTTATTTCTTTATCTTTCTTCTTTCATATCATTTCCATTAACTTCTTCAGTCTCTTTTTACTCGCCACTTCTTTTCTATCAATCTTTCTTTTTCTCTTTTTTTCTCCCTCTTTTTAGTATTTTCTTTCTTTCTTTTCACTAACTTCTGCAATGATTTTTTCGGTCACCACTTCTTACTTATCATTCTTTCTCTCTCACCCTTTTTTCCTTTTCACTTTACTTCTTTCTTTCTTTTTTCTTTCTTTTTTTCCCCTCTTTCCCCTCTACAATTATTAGTTATTTGTTTTTTCTTTCTTCTGACGCCTCCCTTAATTTCTTTAAGATTAATAACAGGAGACGTCTTCTTGTGCCCTATTTTATTAAACTTATTAAATATAATTTTCAAACACTGACATTTCTGATCTTATAAAGGGTGCTCCAATAATTTGGACCGATTTTAAGCGTCTAATGAGATTTATTTTTTCTTTTTCTTTCAGATTTAACAACTTAAGTCTTTGGCAACTTTAACCATGGAAAGATTAACAATCAAACAACGTGTTAAAGTTATCGAAGCCTATTACGAAAATGAAAGTTCAAACAGAATTTGAATGAGAATTTCCCAGGTCGCATCATCTCTCGAAACAGCAAAGTCAATTGGCCACCACGATCGTGCGACTTGACACCTTTAGATTTCTTCCTTTGGGGTCATCTCAAAAGTAAAATCTATGCCAACAAGCCAAGAACAATTCAACAACTGAAGGATGAGATAATAAGGCATATTGGTGAGATCGAGGAGCAACTATACAGAGACGTCATCAAAAATTTTGATCATCGAGTGGAGGTGTGCCGCCGAAGCCTTGGCAGACATTTGGGCGATATTATTTTTCACACATAATTTCCATGACTTAAATAACATGATCCAATATAGAAATAAATAAATTTTCATCAATAACACTGATTTATTCACTGCTGGTTAATCCGTCTTAATGAAACATCCTTTATTTAAATTGGAACAAAAATGTGCATTATTATTCGTGTAATGATAATAAAAATACAATTGTTATTTCAATGTGAAAAAATGAAGAGAGAACTTATCAACAGTCATTTAGATTCAGGGATGGAAGATCAAATTCTTTTGAAAGACGGAGAAAGGGAAATATTTTATTTACAAAACGAAAAGTAAAACGCATTCCTGGTGTGCAATTAACATTAAATAAAAATCAGTAATTAAAGCTTATCTTTGTTTCAGCTGACAAAACATCTCTGAATATTATTCATGACAAAGAATGCTGAAAGAAAGATGGCAGGGGAAAATATTTTATCGGCTACTGATGGCTGAGGCCTACAGCGCATGCGTGCTATTCAAATCACTTGAACTGAATGAAGTTAAAAAATTGATTTCAAAATTATATATATATATATATATATATATATATATATATATATATATATATATATATATATATATATATATAGTAAAAATATTTAACTCGGAAAAAAACCTTCGAATTTTTGATTTGCTGAAGTTTTAAAAAAAGAAAGAGCTTTGAACCTGTCGAAAAAATCGCACAGATCAGGACCACATAAACAACCTATTTGTCTGATTCTATTTTCTAATCTTATCTATCTCTATATATATATAAGAAAAATCATGACAAAGAGCGTCAACGGTGAATAGTTTCCGTTGAAAGAACGAAGATGAGGTGACACTGAAATTTTTATCTTTTAAATTTAATATATGTGTGTGTGTGTGTGTGTGCGTGTGTGTGTATCAAAAGATTATATTTAGTCGATACTGCAATATTCTTTATTTAATAAAGTGGACACCTACCGGCCTGAATGGTAGAAAAGTTTTTGCTTACAGAAATCGAACCTGGTAAAAGATAGATTCTGAGGATCTGTCGAAAATTAAATCCATTCTCTTTATTTTTTTAAATCGGTATCATCCCATGCAATGGACCACTAAGACACAAGGGATACAGGCTTCTTAGCAGCTTAATAATGACCAAGACAGTGAATAGAACATTGGATTTTTTGCAAAAAAGAATTGAGATAGAAAAAAGTTCTACAGACGAGAAATGAGTAAAAGAAACTGTTAGCATAGAACTTACGGCTAAATTCACAAAGTTAGATAGTCTAGAAGAGGTCATCCAAACAATTACCATGAAAAAATTTATAGAAAAAAATCACAGAGAAAGCAACCTTACGGCAGTGGGAAAGTGACTGAAGTCGAACCGCCAGATTAATATTGCTGATTCTTTTGAATCTTATCAAGGAGCTCAAGGTGAATAGCAAGAACAGAGGATCATATATGGCAACAATATTCTAACATGGATTGGTATATATAATGTAAGATAAGAAAATTGTCTGCATATGTTTCTTAGCAGCTGACTTGAAATGGACGAAAATGTCCATAAAAAAAAATTGAGAAATCATGAAAAAGAAATTTCGCTTGAAAGTATGGAATTGGCTTCACCTGACCGTCTGTTCGTTCAGGACCAAGTAACATATATATATATAACAGCATATGTGGCCTGACGATTGCATATTGCATGAAACAGACTGTCGACTCTATGTTGACTTCTATGTTCACTTTTATATTTACACGCTCTATCTCTGATATTGAGCACTTTATTCCATAAATATAGCACATTAAGACTATATTTCTTCATATATATATATATATATATATATATATATATATATATATATATATATGGTGCAAAAAATAATGACGTAATAATGTCGTTTTGACCTATTTTTTAAGGTAAAAACGACATTATTACGTCATTATTTTTGCACCAATCTAATATATATATATATAGTTAGTTAGTTTAAGAAAAACTAGGTAATCCTTATGGGTAAACCTAAGGAGGCTAAAATCCAGAGAGCTCAATGTAAATCCAGAGAAAATAATTTAAATAAAAACAGACCACTTTAAAGTTCCATGCAATAAATTATTTCACCACCGCTAAAGGACTGCGGATCAACAGACTTTACTTCCAAACAAAAATATATATATTAGAGCTTTCTCAAATTCAGATCACATATATGTTTTGTCATTATTACGCTAAACATTATCTTTAATGGGTATAGGTGTTCGTGTAGACCACCTGTTCTTTTTTTACGCATTGAAATTAACATTTATCGGCCTGGATATCAAATGTAACAGTTTCTCGTAGTGGAGTTGTTAAGGAAGCCGGGGATAAAATTCCAGAGACACATTTTCTTTTTGATTTCTAGGGAGATAGATGTTCATATTTCGTGTTTTAAAATGACCAGGCAAACACGTGTACTCACGAAAAATAACGTTTAGAGTAATAAACACACACACACATACACACATATATATATATATATATATATATATATATATATATGTGTGTGTGTGTGTGTGTGTGTGTGTGTGTGTGTGTGTGTGTGTGTGTGAAAATATATAGAAAATATTCCTACTATGAATCTGATGATTGGGCTATTTGTTAAACAAGTTATATAAATTTTTTTATCTAATAATTACAACCAAAAATCTGATGATGCCTACAAAAAACCGTTAACTCGTGTCTATTATTTAATAGATTATTATTATTTAGAAGTTTAATAATGTGCAATTTTTCATGGAGGCACAAAGGGCATGGGTCATCCCAAGCTTTACATATTCTAGCCTTGACAAGGCTAGAATATGTAAAGCTTGGGATGAAATAACAAATAGCCCAATCATCAGATTCATAGTAGGAATATTTAACTACAAACATGCATACAACATAACACACTTCATAATCCATAGCCTAAATTAGTAGTTTAAATACCTTACATATAAGATAACCGATTATGAAGTCGTCAAAAAACAAACGTTACGAAAGTTTTTCTTTTTTTATATGCACAATTCCCTTTCATAATAAAATAAAATAAAATAAATAAATAAATCTCCATAGACAAGCAAACTAGACGATGGCCAATACATCTTCCGTTTCCTTTTTGACACCCCCACCTTTCCCCGACTTGACACCTTGAAAGTATCTCTATACCGCTACTTATTATAAACACCCTACACTCCCCTACCCAATTTAGACAATTCACCCTAGCTGTTATCATGGGGATTTTGATTTCACTTTTAAAACAAGTAAATTTCAGATATACGTTATTCCAACAAAAATTTCGCTTGAAGATGGAACGGAGCCCATTTTACTTTCAACTCAATTTAATTTAAAGGATTATATTGAAGTTTTCGGCTCTTGTTTTGAAACATGAGACCTCTTATGTAGCGATTTGGAATCATATTTTTAAATAAATAATTATATATATATATATATATATATATATATATATATATATATATAAAATATCGGATGAAAATATGTATTTCAGTCCGCTCTATATCTATCTCCGTATTATTTGTCGATCTTAGTCTGTTCATTATTTAGCTATATATATATATATATATATAGAGAGAGAGAGAGAGAGAGAGAGAGAAAGAAAGATATCCACATACAAGAATGTTTCGCTGTATACCAGCTTATCACTGTGGCTAGACATCCGATTGCTTCAAGCCAGGATTGAAACCCGGTCGATTTGGTGTCAGTCCCTACTTCTAAGCTATCGGCACACGGCAGAGGTGGGGAATCTTAACGTATTATTTACGGATGTATACAAACGCTAGCAAGCCAGGGTGCTCAATTCATTAATGAAAAGCGTTATATATATATATATATATATATATATATATATATATATATATATATATATATATATATATATATATATATGTATGTATGTATGTATATATATATACTAGCAGTAGAGACCGGCGTTGCCTGGGATGTAACAGTAAGAGATAGATCAAGTATCGACCATCATAAAGACTGAAAATAAAATTGACAAAGATTATTGTTTAAGGTTGACGGACACGCATGTCTTAATTAGTTTTTTTTTTTTTTGAATTGGTCAAACCCAAATTCAAACAAAAACATTGTTTACAATCGTTATGAGTCTATCGATTGGTGAATAGAATTTTATTATAAACAATTGTCTTTAAATGGAATTTAAAAATTCTGAATGTAAATAAAGAATGTAAATAAAGAAAAACATTCATTTATTTACATTCAGAATGTCTGAATGTAAATAAAGAAAAAAGTGTGCAAGACAATAAGAAATACTACCTGCCGAAAAAAAAAGTGGATGTTTGTTTTATCGGCTGAAAAATGTAAGAAATCCGATCCCATATATAAAGGAACACACACACACATAAACAACCTGTTTTTTTTTAACCTAAGTCACTCCACGGAATCGCTAAAACATAGAGCATA